TAAGGAGCCACGGTGGACATGAGAATCCAAAATTTTGTGAATTTCATATTCTTCTTCACCTTGGACAATGATAGGTTCAGGAGTTGTTACTATTTCCCTATAAAAAGGATCAGGGATGTGTGGTTTAAGTAAGGAGACATGGAATACTGGATGAAGTTTAAAACTTGGAGGAAGTTTTAGTTTAACAACGTTATCATTAATGATAGTAATTACTTGAAAGGGACCAAGAAAAAGAGAGCTCAATTTCTTTGAAGGACGGCTTGTGGTAATATTCCTTGAAGAGAGCTAGACAAGATCCCCTACCTTGTAAGGAGGGGGAATTCTTCTATTATTGTCAAAAAACTTTTTCTGGTTATTTTGGGCGAGTTGAAGATTCTCCCGTAATTTGAAAAATAGAGAAGACATAAATTCATTTTTTGATGTAACAGTAGGATTGGATGAAGTAATGGTTTGGATGGGGAATGAAGACGGATGAAAACCATAGTTGGAGAAGAAAGGAGTCATTTTCGTACTAGAATGAATGGTAATATTGTAAGAAAATTCGGCCATAGGTAACCATGTGGTCCAGTCATCTTGGAGGTATGAACAATAACATCGAAGATATTGTTCCAAACATTGGTTAACCCTTTCTGTTTGCCCATTAGTTTGGGGATGATAAGCGGAAGAGAGTTTGCGTTGAATTTGAAGGGAGAGACACATCTCTTTCCAGAATTTGGAGGTAAATTGTGTCCCCCTATCAGAAATAATTTCTTCAGGAAGATCATGAAGTTTCACAATATTGTCAATAAAGACCTTAGACAATTCTACAGAGGAGGGTAATTTTTTTAAAGAAATGAAATGGGACATTTTTGTGAAGCGATCCACAACGACAAGAATAGTGGTGAAATGTTGAGAAGGTGGAGGATCAACGATAAAATCCATAGAAATGGATTGCCAAGGTTTTTCTGGAATAGGTAAGTTAAGTAGTAATCCAAAAGGTTGATTATGTTCTGGTTTAGACCTTTGACAGATAGGACATGTTTTGACATATAATGCAATGGTTCTATCTTGGCGAGGCCACCAATAATATCGTGAAGTTAGTTCAAGTGTTTTCTTTATTCCAGGATGTCCAGCTAGGGGGGAATCATGAACCATCTTAAGTAATTTATTCCTAAGAATGGGAGGAATATAAATTCTATTTTTTAAAATAAAATAGACCATCCTTTTTTGTTAGTATAGGTGTTTTGGGAAGTTCAAGATCCTTCTGATTCAAATTCTTTATGTCATCATGAAGAGAAGAGAGGATTCCTATTATTTTGGTAGAAGGATAATCATCAGTAGTAGTTTTAGAAGGAATTCGAGAAAGAGCATCAGCCTTTTTATTTCTATTTCCAGGTCTGTATATTAATTGGAAGTTAAATCGGTTAAAGAATAGGTTCCATCTAACTTGTCTAGCTGTAAGGGTTTTGTTAGTATAGAGATATTCAAGATTTTTATGGTCAGTATAAACTATTATAGGTTGTTTTGTATCTTCCAGAAGATGATGCCAATTTTCGAAGGCAGCTTTAACACTTAATAATTCTTTTTCACCAATAGGATAATTTTTTTCAGCAGAGCTCAAGGATCTTGAAAAAAAGGCAACTGGATGAAGTGGATCTTGTGGAGTCTTTTGTTGAGAAAGAACTGCTCCGATGGCTGCATCTGATGCATCAACTTCAAGAACATATAGGAATGTTGAATTAGGTAGTTGTAGAATAGGTGCAGTTGTAAATCTTTTTTTTAATTCGTCGAAGGCTGTTTGAGCATCTTTATTCCAATTAAAAGGACGTTTACTACTGTTGAGGAGGTTAAGAGGATGTGATACATCCGAATAGTTTCTAATAAATTTTCTATAGAAGTTTGCAAATCCAAGAAAACGTTGTAATTCTTTTGTAGTAGTAGGAGCAGGCCAATCAATAATACATTTGATTTTGGAATTATCCATCTTCAAAGAATGAGGTGAAATAATGTATCCTAGAAAAAAGAATTCAGTAACCTCAAAAAGGCATTTTTCTGGTTTAGCGTATAATTTATGAGTTCTCAGTCTAGATAGAACCCATCTAACATGTTTCCTATGTTCATCCAAATTGTTAGAATATATTAAGATATCATCTAAGTAGATAATAACACATACATCCAGAAGATCTTTAAAGATATCATTGATAAAATGTTGAAACGTTGCAGGGGCATTACAGAGCCCGAAAGGCATCACTAGATATTCGTAGAGACCATATCTTGTCCGGAAGGCGGTTTTCCATTCATCATCCTGTTTTATTCTAATGAGGTTATATGCGCCTCGAAGGTCGAGCTTAGTGAATATAGTTGCAGTTCTTAACCTTTCAATTAATTCATTTATTAGTGGAAGAGGATAACGATTTTTAATAGTTATTTTATTTAAGGCTCTGTAATCTATAATAGGACGGATGGTTTGGTCTTTAATCTTCACAAAGAAAATACTAGAAGCAGCAGGAGAGGTCGAGGGTCTGATGAACCCTTTGCGTAAATTTTCATTAAGATATTCTTTTAAAATTTCTAACTCCTTTTCAGAGAGAGGATAAATATGACCATAAGGAATAGGAGCTCCGGGTATGAGATCTATTGGGCAATCATATACCCGATGAGGAGGAAGTGTTTCCGCTTCTTTTTTACAAAAGACATCTGCAAAATCGGAGTAGAATGGAGGTATAACTGGTTCTACAGTAGTTTGGAGAATAGGAATGTGTTGTAAGCACGTTTTTTTTACAGAAATCAGAAGCAAAGGAGATGGAGAAGGGAGACCACTTAATTAAAGGATCATGGTTTTTTAACCAATTAATTCCTAGAATGACGGGATAAAGTGGAGATTTAATAATATCAAATGTAATGAATTCGAAATGTACGTTGTTGGTAATCATTCTTAGAGGGATTGTTTCATCTTTGATGGGTCCTGAGGATATAAATGAACCGTCAATAACTCTGATTGGAATAAAATTGGTTTTTTGAACACAAGGAATTTTATTTTTTGAAACAAAAGGAAAATCAAGAAAAGTTCCATTAGCACCAGAATCAATGATGGCCTCAGTCACGATTCTTTTTGTATCCCACTGTAATATGAGAGATATAGAAAAATAAGTAGATGCTTTTCTTTTTTGAAAAACGTTCAATATAGAGGTAGATGAATGAAGCTTACCACCTTTTGAATGTTTCAGTAGAGGACATTCCGAAATTAGATGTTCATTCGAAGCACAATACATACATAAGTTTAGTTGTCTCCTTCTTATTCTTTCTTCAGAAGTAAGAGGACTTTTTATTATACCTACTTCCATAGGTTCAGTTTGTGGAGGAATTTTTTCAGGTAGTTTTAGAGTAGTGAAAGGTTTTCTCCAGGTAGAATTAGCAAGAACCCTTTCAGCTTTTCTTTCTCTTAGACGTCTATCAATACTGATAGACAGTTGAATCAATGCATTTAAGGTAGGAGGAAGTTCTGTACGAGAGAGTTCATCTTTCACAGCTTCAGATAATCCGAGACAGAATTGATTGCGTAAAGTAATGTCATTCCATTGGGTTTCTGTAGCCCATCTTTTGAATTCTGCAATATAATCTTCAACAGGTCTATTCTTTTGGTGTAATGTTCTGATGGTTAAATCAGCAGCAGTTTGTTTAAAAGGATCTTCATATAATAAAGACATAGCTTCAAAGAACTCATCCAATGAATCCAATATGGGATCATCATTTTCCAAAAAGGAATGGGCCCATGCCATAGGTTCACCTCTTAAAAAAGAGATCACTGAACAGACTTTGGATCTTTCGGTGGGATAAGATCTAGGTTTTAAAGCAATTAGTAGTTTGCAAGAATTCAAAAACTCTCCGTACTTTGTTCTATCTCCATGAAATTTTTCTGGATTACAGACAGCAGGATCACCAGCCGATTGAAGAGCGGCATGAGGAAGATGACCTTGAATGTCTCTAACATAGGTTAATATTCTCTCATTTGTAATTTGCAGTTCCTGTAACCCTTGAGCAATCGTATCCACTCTATTGGTTAGGGCAGAAACTTGAGAGTTAATATCTGCTGGTTCCATTGAAGAGGCTGAATTATTCTGTAATACTAATTTTGTAATATTTCTTTAATTGGAACTCAACTGCAGCATTTCTTGGTTGCAACAACAATAAGGTTCACCTCCTTTTATATTGGTATGAAACTATGGTCACTGTACCTTTAAATATCCATGTAGGTAAAATTAGGCTTTGTAGCAATCCCTTATGAGTAAGAGGAATAATTAGACAAAGTAACACTTTAGTGAGTTTTAGATACTGTGTAATATAAATAATAGTAATTGACTTGTTTGGTAAAAGTATTACTTAACTTAAAGGCAGTTCTGGCACTGGAAGGGTTAATTCACCCAATGAAGGAGAAATTAGAAGTCCGTTTCAACAAGCTGAGAACTATGAGTGGAGAGTGGGGAAGTCCGTTTTAACAAGCCGAGGTCTGGGAGTGGAGAAGGTAGAATTCAGAGTTACAAGCCGAGGTCTAGGAGTGGAGAAGGTAGAAATCCGTTTACTAGCCGAGGTCGAGAAGTGGAGAAGGTAGAAATCCGTTTACAAGCCGAGGTCGAGAAGTGGAGAAGGTAGAAATCCGTATACTAGCCGAGGTATAGAAGTGGAGCAGGTAGGATCAGAAGTAGAGCAGCTGATCTTCATGCAGCACCTGTGCGAATAATCCAGCCCTTTGAATCTGGCGCGGTCCTCCTAAGTATCGTGGAGGGACCGCGTCAGAGAAAGGGGCGGGGCTGAGCGCCGTGAACCCGGAAGTGGGTTCCGGCGATAAATAACATGCCATGCTATACCTGACAGCATGTCAGACTGCCTGCCAATCATGCAGCTGGCCAACTAAGAGCATACTATGCAGACAGCACCCTGAGCTTGGCATAAATGCATCTAATCATGCGCTCACTCAATGCTTTCTAAGGACTGTCCCCTAGCACTCGCTGGTCCACTTGTCTCCTTACCTTCTTACTAGCAGGCTCCTGGTATATGGTCTGGGACAGAGAAAAGCTGTATGTAGCGAGTGTAGAAGAAAGGGAACATGCCACAGTGTTAGAGAGACCAAAGTCAGCATTACCTTAAATGATCACTATAGGGTCAGGAACACAAACATGAATTCATGACCCTATAGTGTTAACACCACCATCTAGCCCCCATGGTCCCCTCATGTTTCCATAAATATAGCAAAATCTTACGATATTCAAGCCCGAAGCTGTAACTCTGCATGCTGTTAGACTCATAAAAACAAGCAGTCTGCTGACATCATTAGAAGTGGCGGCCTGATCCAATCATTGTGCTTCCCCATAGGATTGGCTGAGGCTGACAAAGAGGCAGATCAGGGTCAGAGCGAGCATGATTCAAACACAGCCCTGGCCAATCAGCATCTCCTTATATAGATGAATTTAATTAATGAATCTCTATGAGGAAAGTTCAGTGTCTACATGCAGAGGGAGGAGACACTGAATGTTTGGATGCATTTTAGGCAGCCATGACGCAGGAAGGATCGCTAACAGTCATCTAAGGAGTGGCCAGTGAAGTTATCACTAGGATGTAATGTAAAGACTTCATTTTCTCTGAAAAGACAGTGTTTACAGCAAAAAGCCTGACGGTAACGATTCTTCTCACCAGAACAAATTCAATAAGCTGTAGTTGTTCTGGTGACTATAATGTCCCTTTAACTATATTCATTGTCAGCCAGTCCACACAAGTTTTGTTCCCATACATCCCACTTAAGTTTCCATACTTAAGTAAGAGTATGTGAAAAGTAGTTAGGTTTGCCACTTTTCTTGGAAAAAAAGGAGTGACATAAGAGAAAATGCTGTAAAATCACCAAAAAAACTATTAGTTTGATTCTGCTGTATAGATGGATTCCTCCCAGTGCCCCTATGTCTCCCAGTGCCCCCATGTGTCGATTACTCCAGGTCTCAGTGTTCCTATGTATCAGTGTCTCAGTGCCCCATGTCTCCCAGGGTCCCCTAGTGTCGTGTCCCCAGGTCTCCCAGTGATCCTATGTATCACAGTGTCTCAATGCCCCATGTCTCCCTGTGTCCGCATGTATCCCAGGGTCCCCATGTCACTAGGACACTAGTAAGATGGGGAGACCTGGGGAAATGGGGAGACCTAGGGACATGGAGACACAAGTGTCACTGGGAGACTAGAGGACTCTGGCTGGGACACATGGGGACAATGGGAAAATAAGGGACACTTGAAGACATGGGGACACAAACACCAGGGACACAGACACTAGAGACACTGGCTGGGGGACATTGAGACATGGGGACACTGAGACACCAGGGCCACAGACACTAGGGACACTAGCTTGGAGACATGGGGACATTGTGACACTTTAGGCAATGAGAGACATGGGGACAGTGAGACACTGGCAGACTGGGAGACTAGGGGTCACTGTGTCCCCATGTGTCGGTGTCATAATATCTCCCAATGCCCCTTAGTGTCTCAGTGTCTGCCATAATATCTCCCAGTGTCCCTTAGTGTCTCAGTGTCTGCCATAATGTCTCCCAGTGCCCCTTAGTGTCTCACTGTCTGCCATAATGTCTCCCAATGTCCCTTAGTGTCTCAGTGTCTGCCATAATGTCTCCCAATGCCCCTTAGTGTCTCAGTGTCTGCCATAATGTCTCCCAGTGCCCCTTAGTGTCTCAGTGTCTGCCATGTCTCCCAGTGTCCCTTAGTGTCTCATTGTGTGCAATAATATCTCCCAATGCCCCTTAGTGTCTCAGTGTCTGCCATAATGTCTCCCAATGCCCCTTAGTGTCTCAGTGTCTGCCATAATGTCTCCCAGTGCCCCTTAGTGTCTCAATGTCTGCCATGTCTCCCAGTGTCCCTTAGTGTCTCATTGTGTGCAATAATATCTCCCAATATCCCTTAGTGTCTCAGTGTCTGCCATAATGTCTCCCAATGTCCCTTAGTGTCTCAGTGTCTGCCATAATGTCTCCCAACGTCCCTTAGTGTCTCAGTGTCTTCCATAATGTCTCCCAGTGTCCCTTAATGTCTCAGTGTCTGCCATAATGTCTCCCAGTGCCCCTTAGTGTCTCAGTGTCTGCCATGTCTCCCAGTGTCCCTTAGTGTCTCAGTGTCTGCCATAATGTCTCCCAACGTCCCTTAGTGTCTCAGTGTCTGCCATAATGTCTCCCAGTGTCCCTTAATGTCTCAGTGTATGTCTCCTTGCAGCCTTTCCCCATCCCTTACTTCCCTGAGCTGTAGGCTGTCTCTGCAGGGTGGGAGTTGCTGTCTGGACTCTCTGTAGCTGCACCCCTGCAGATCAGTGAGTATATATAGGTAGGGAGGGATATGCTGGAACTTCCTATCCCTGCCTGTCTCCACACACAGTGACCCCTACTGGCCAGTGCTGGTATTGCATAGTAATCTCTTGTTTATACTGAGAAAAATACCAGCATTTGTATTGCCAGTATCACTGCAATTGGCACCAGCCAGGCAGCCTCAAATACTGGCTGTGCCAATAAAATAAAAGCCAGGTGAAATCCCTAAGAGTAGTGTGTAAAAAAAAATTATTATTTTTTTTTTTTTTTTAAATCAATGGGCCTATTCCATGGGCCTGGGCCTGGGCCTGGAGCTACAGCTCCATCAGCCCCTATGTTAATCCGGCCCTGAATATATTGTATGTATGGGTAAAGAGAAAGCATTAAATTATGGTGGGCAGACTAGATGGGCCGAATGGCTCTTGTCTGCTGTCACATTCTATGTTTCTAGGTTTCTATGGTGGAACAAACAAATTGCACATTTTACAAAAAAAGTTTTCAGAAATGCACTGATTTTCAGAAAACCTAGTGTGAATTTTAGAAAGCTCTAGTGGTAAGAAAGATACACCTCACCGTTTCTCTTACAGATACACATCAGGTTGAAGTTATCCTCATTTTGGATTGATCTTTATTGGGTAGATTACAAGATATCAAATATTCTGTAGAAGAAGCATCTCAATATTGCAAGTAATACTAAAGACAAAATTAATAAACAAGAGCAATATCAGAGCTGAAGTAGCTTAATTATGGGAAAAAAGACAAACATATAGCAAAGGTAGTAAAATAACTCTATGGAGTCCATTTATTGTCGACCCACATATTTTTCTGAATAATAAATAACACAGAAAATGTTTATAGAACACAAAGGGTTTGCTAATAGCCTGCTTTGGTCTTGATGCACCTTGAGCTAAAGTGCAAAAGTGTTTTCCTTTTTGTGTTAGATTGGATCAACTCAGTTTATAATTGTTTGACCTAGTTGTGAAAAAAATGTTCTCTCAGATGAAAATGGTGCTTTGAATTACGATGTTTTGATTATACATTGTACTTGTCAAAATGCTGTTTTAATAATGCGTAGGTACAAATTGAGTAAGGAGCACTACTATAAATCTTTATATACACATGAAAATCTTTATTCAATGGGTACATACTAATAATATATCTCATTACATGAAAAACCAAGATATAAAGTCATATCATGTTATTAAGCAACAGCCAGAACAATTCTGGATATATATAAACGCCAAATGCGCAGTGTGTGAAAAGAACAAAAAGTAAGTATCATAGATAGGAAAAAATGAGATACCAATATAATTAAACCCTACAAATACATATAAAAAAATAATAAGCATACCAGATTTTTATTTTTATTTTTTTACATATTTCTATTAGCGTGTTAGTATAGTATTGTTTTTACAATAGGGGCTGGAAAAATATACTTTGGTCCTATTTTTGCTCGCTAGTGGAGCTATATGAAGCTGTTTTTCATTCCCTTTTCTTAAAACTGTTTGTTCTTTAGGCAATATTGTATAGTCTAATCTGGTCAGTGGTTCCACTATCGGTGGTTGGCGCACGCGCCAATCATCGATCAGGTTGCATATTTTCACGTGTTGGAACGCATATGCATATGCGTTCCACCTTTTCATACCTACTTCTGGGTTTAGGATGTTTAGGCTCATTGGCGGTTTGCGCATGCGCCTGCCATTGACGGGCTTACGTGGCGCACCGTATTGGAACGCATGTCGTTCCAGCTTGCACAGTACACTTCCGGGTTCGGGTATTTGAAATGGTTCATGCCTGCGTTCCCTATTGAATGTATTTCTAACCAGTTTAAGTTTCCTGATCGGGTTCCTTCATCTGCGAGTTCTGGTATTTCCATTTGACTACACGTCTTATGTATTTTAACTTTTTTTTCCCACTTGCTACAGTTTATGACTCTGGATGGTGATATATATATATATATATATACACACATTAACACTGACTTAAAGTTAAATTTTTGTCTGTTGTATAACAACATGTCTCTGCCAGATTGTTTATAATATTGGTTTTTGATACTACATGTTTGCATGTTCTAAATTGAATGCTGTACATTATTTGTTTGTATATCTTTTATTCTAAACTTGTATGTTACATGGATGTGTACATGTCAGTACTTTTGGTTTCCTTGGTAACCATAAACAGGTGTTTATGGTTGGGAGGATCCCAGTCATTATGGGTGGCCACCCATTTACTTCAGGTGTCATTAATTTATGTGTTTCTTTTTCTCTCAACAGGCTCCCTTGATAAAGGCATTTTCGCTGAAATATTGGGGGTGTTTTGGTGATTGACTCTGTCCCTGTTTCTCACTAGGTCTGGTATGCTTATTATTTTTTTATATGTATTTGTAGGGTTTAATTATATTGGTATCTCATTTTTTCCTATCTATGATACTGACATTTTTTTATTTTCACACACTGCGCATTTGGCGTTTATATATATCCAGAATTGTTCTGGCTGTTGCTTTATTCAAAAAAAGAAAAGAAAGGAATGCACACCAACTAACACAATAATATATATCTAAATATATTTATTATAATACAAATCCAAATCTTACATATAAAATGTAACAGTGACCAAAAAAGGCAAAAAAGTTTAAACAGTATATTTACCAAATTCTACAAGCCTATAAGGGCAGAAACACGAGTCACAAACAATCCCCCAACGTTTCGGCTCCTCCTGGTAGCCTTTATCAAGGGTAGCTATATCACAACATCATCCAAGAGACTATTATATACACATAAACAAACTACTTACAGCTGATGGCCATCAGTGATGTCACAAAGAGCCGAGACCGGAAGTGACATCATCACTTCGGATCATAGCCCTATATATAAAGCACAATAATAAT